TGAAAAGAAATCTAAACAATCTCTATTTTACACAATTAATGTTAAATTATTTTTGATCTTTATAATTTATCTATCATATGTTTATCATGACCATATTTCAACATTTTCAATAAATTTTAAATCTCTTATAACGGATATTTGTAACTTAAAATACTAAATCAAAAAAAAAAGGGGAGGTGGGTACTTAAGACATTTGGCTCCGTTCGGCTTATAAACATTAACTACCAAAGTGACTATGTTATTTCCGTAGTTAAAAAAAAAATAAAAAATGAACGGTTCTTTATATATGTATACATTTTGCAATACATTTCTGCTACAAGAATCAGACAACAGAGAATTAAAAGAATCTGATTTTCCAGTCGGCGGTGTTTCTTTGAATTCCTCGTATTTCTTCACTTATTTTTGTCTTCTGCTTCATCAGCTTTCTTTTTCAGACAGGTGCGCAGGAATTTGATGGTCCCTATGCAGTTATACTCAAAACCTGTCATAGAAAAGCTAAAACTTAACAATAAAGCAACTATTTTTGGCAAAAGCATTAATTGCGACTTCACAAATTTTATTTTATTAGCAAACTTTATATAGTAATTCGAGGTTTCTTTTAACATTATTGTCCCTGTAAATTGAAGAAATCATTCACATGATGCTCTATAATATACTGTCAACACATACTTGGAAACATTATCTTGAAATGAAAAACCTTTATTTTATATTGATATTACTGAAGAATATCTAATCGATTAGTGTGGCGCAAAAACACTGTTCCAAAAAAAAAAAGTTGCTTTGAAAATCTGGTCTTTGGTAAGACTTATTTAAGGGCTGTTGAAAAATTTGGAACTTGGGTTTACTGGATCAGTATAAAATGGTTCCAAGTTTAATTTCATTTAAATTGAAAGGGGATTCATGGATGATGATTTGAGTTTGATAATGTTTATGTTTTTCTCGGGAATCTTGATTTTGTAGTGTATATTGTTTGGACATGAATTCTTTAATGTGGTGTTTTTGCTAACTGGGTAATTTTGATTATTTTTTCCCATATGGGTTAAGTTCTATCTAGGCCAAATTGATCCTTTCCTCCGTGAAAGAGGATATTGGATATGCAGATTGGTTCTCTTTTCTTTCTGAATATGAGCTTCATATTCATGGGAAAGAATGAAGAATCCTATTTAGTAGTATTATATTTCTTGCATAGGTTTACAACTCGATTACTTCATCTAAATGTGCTAAACTTGCCACTCCATGGGCACATTATACTTTATCTATCTCTGTGAAGCGCATGGAAAATAACTATATCTGTCTTTTATTTTTATCTATACATGTGTTAGTAAACTACAGTATAACAAGTTGCAATCTTAAATTGGGTTTGCAGAAATTCCCTCCTTGGTGAAATTAATATTTTGTTTGATATGGAATATTCACCAAAGGAAATTGATGAAAGTGAGATAGTAACAAGTGAAGAACTCGTGAGGATAGATGGTAATATGTCTACCAATTCTATCGAACCAGAGGGTCACAGTGTGTTGGCCTCACCAGCATTTTGTGTGTCTACAAGCAGTGAGTGGCTAGGAAGTTCAACCCATCCCAGTTTGAGCACACTGGAGGGTTATGATTTGAAAGGAGGCGAAATGTATTTGGCTGATACTGTGCGTCCTTCTACAAGTCTCTCTTCTGCGAACGATGCAGGTTTTGTGCTCGAGGAATTGACTGCAAGAAATTATGATTATGGATCTCCTAACTCATCTTTTCTTAGCTGCTCAACCACTAGAAAGGGAAATAACAATAAGAGGAGATATTTGCATCAATTGGGATTGCATGGGCCTAGAAGTATTATCAGAGATAGAGATTTGATGTCCCAGAATAAGGAGCCGCTGGCATTGATTTCTAGGGAAGATTTGCCAAGAACGAACTTACATAAGTCGAAACCTTTATCAAGTAGGCAAAATGACAAAGACTCCAGTAGAATATCTTCCCATTTGACTGATGGTTATAACAAAGAATCCTCTAGTAGAATGCCTCATGGCTATGATCGGTCTAAAATCTTATCTTCGTCAAGTTTCTCTCAGTTTTTCAGTAAGCAGTCGATGGTGTCAATAGAGAAGAATGTTCCAAATAAAAGCCTCGGAGTTTGTTCTGAATTTCATAGAGCAAGAATGGGTCAGAATAAAGACAAGCAGACTTGCTCGAGTAGAAAAGCATCGGATATGTCCCTTTCTAGTAAGGTTCATTCTTGTGATGATGGTGGGAAAGGACTTGCATTGCCTCATTTTGGGATTACATTGAGAGAATGGCTAAATTCTGGGGTTTCCAAGATAAACAAAAGTTACAGGCTGCATTTGTTTAGGCAGATTGTGCAGATAGTAAATATTACACATTCTCAAGGCTTTTCCTTGCTGGATATATGTCCATCTTCGTTTGTTTTATTGCCACCTGATGATGTCAAATACATTGGTTCGTCAATGCAGGTAGAATTACCGAGTTTGGTGGATCAGGGTATTACAAAGAAGAGACATTTAGAGCATGAAATGTCTCCACGTGGAAAATTTGGTGTAAATCAGCATAAAGTATGCCAGGACAAATTGATAATGCATAAACCTCCATTCATCTCCAAAAATGGTGTCAATGACAAGGGTTCTGATCAGCTAAGGACTGGCATCAGTGATATGGAAAATTCTAACCACACCGAATGTACAGCTCGAAACAATTTTACTCATGAAGGCACGTCTATCCAGGGGCAGTTTGGGTTTGCATTTGATGCTGCTCAGTTGGAAAAGAAATGGTATACTTGTCCAGAGGAGCTTGATAATCTTCAATCAAATATCTACAGTCTTGGTCTTTTGTTATTTGAGGTGAGGATTATTGTTGATTTATGTAAGCATCACGTTCTTTATGTTTCGACTTAAATTTCCATAACGATCTACTCTCAGTATTAAAAGTAACTCCTCTTTTCCGTTCATTGTACATGAGTCTATCTTCTGCTTAATAACCGTTAGAGGTAGGAGAGTAATTGTGAATGCTAACATCAGGTTTCTTGTTCTTCTTCCTTGGACTTGATATGTCAAAATGTAATGCACTGTGCAAATTTTGGCACGCCACATGCTTTATATGTTGGAAATGTATAGGTTGAGAATCATACAATGAAATATGTAAAGCTTTGTTAAATTGCTTTTTCTAATTTAAGATGACAACTGAAATTTAACAGCAGAGAACATATTCATCAACTGAACACAGAGAGAGGAAAGAAGGGAAAGGGCAACGTATCTCGGAACCCACACAACGTAAACGAACTTAAAAAATGGGGACTCGTTTGTTTTAAGTCATCTTATGATTTTTAACTCTGGATTTTATTTAAGAAAAAAAAAGTAAGACCAGATATATGTAGCTTTCGCTGATACTTATTGGTTCCATCAGTTGCTTTGGCATTTTGAGTCAATAGAAGCACATTCTGCGGCAATGCTGGATTTGCGCAATCGGATTCTACCTCCTAATTTTCTTTCTGAATGTCCAAAGGAAGCTGCCATCTGTTTTTGGATGCTGCATCCTGAACCTCCTTCTCGTCCAACAACCAGGTATCTTTTCTTGAATCATCGAATCTGTTTTACTTCTTCTAGTATGATAGAATCTGAATTTTGTCATAACTATGAAATGCCGAGACATGTAAAATGTAGCCTAGACTGCACACTTATAGAAATTATCAAATGATAGTGGTCACAACTATATGTCCAGACTTATATTTCTGCAAAGATACCAAGAAAGAATAAAGTTCTGGAAAGAAAGTTGATAATGTTGTATTTTAATTGCATAAATATCAGATTAAATAAGAATTTCATGCTTACAAAATATTAGTGAGTTATAAGTCAACTATTACTATGACTTTCAGTGGCAGCAAATTTTTTTTTTGCCATGTGCCATCTTGTAATGTTTTTCGTCTTTTGAAATGAGAGAACTAATGATAAACAGGGATACCTGTGGCTCAAAGACGTTTTAGCGTCCATCAGATGATGAAAATTGTAGCTCTAAAATCATCTACTAAAATAATACGCGGGTCAGAATGTACAAATCAATAGTTAACAGAACCACGCTGTCATAGTACACTTTCCGATTGCAGGAGAATGATGTTCATGTGTCATATTTTATACAATTATTATTGGTCAAGAATTCTAAGGGCTAGTCAAGCTTTCTTCTTCACGAGTGTAATAACATCTGACCCTCTAGGAGATCAAGATACATTAATGATTGGGAAAATAGTAGCATTAGTTCACAACCTATTGTTGGAATAGCAAGTTGGTCCTTTAAAATTAAAAAAAGGAGCAAGTGTTCCTCAATCTTTTATTATAGTTCCCATCACTCTCCAGTGACAAAAAGCGTACAGTTCTCCATTAGATCGTCACATGTCACATGACCCTCATTGAAACACGCCGCACTTAAAATTTGTGGGAACCAGTTCGAGTTGGGAAACAAAATCTAGCGTCAAGAAGTTGGACATGCGAGGGTTAGATGACAATTTAAGGGAGATGTGGATGGTTTTCGTGTTCAGGAGCAATAGGTTGGGATGTACTGCAATTTTTCCTTGATGATTTGAACCCTTTATCCCACTAAGAAATCATGAATCTATTTCCTTAGTTACTGATACGTCAGTTGCTATGCTGCATATTTGACTGACAGGGAACTTCTGAATTGTGAGATAATTTATGGATCTGAAGAGATGACTCTAGGAGGTGATGAGCCATCATTTGCTAACAAGTTTGCTGATGCTGAGTCAGACCTCTTACTTTATTTTCTAGTTGCATTAAAGGAAGAAATGCAGAATAAGGCCTCCAAGTTGTTGGAAAATATAGAATTCTTAGAAGCTGATATCAAGGAGGTTGAGAGAAAGTATGCTTTTCAAAGATCTTCAGACAGGATTGATGGAGACCACGATGCAAGACAGAAACCTTTACTTAAAGACAATGATAGGACAAATTTGTTTGGGGTTAAGTTGACGAGCAATATCAGTGCACTTGAAGATGCTTACTTCTGTATGAGATCCCAAGTCCATATTCCTGAAATTTCTGAAATGGAACGATCAGACAAGGACATATTGAGGAGTCGTGACAGGTGGTCTTGGGTTCAAAATCAATACCAAGAGCCAAAGATTGAAGAGAGGTCCGTTGATCTAGTTGGAGCCTTCTTCGAAGGTATTTGTAAGTTTGCTCGCTACAGTAAGTTTGAGGTCTGTGGGACGTTAAAAAATGGTGATATTCTCAACTCAAGCAACGTGATATGCTCTTTGAGTTTTGATCATGAAGAGAACTATATTGCTACTGCTGGAGTCTCAAAGAAAATCAAAATCTTTGAGTTCGATTCCCTTTTGAATGACTCTGTTGATGTTCAGTATCCAGTGATCGAAATGCCAAACAAATCTAAATTTAGCTGTGTTTGTTGGAATAACTACATCAAAAATTATTTGGCATCTGCCGACTATGATGGTCTAGTGCAGGTATGTATTCAGTACTCTGTTCACAACTGAATGCTCCTAAATGTATGAGCTACTGCAGTACTGCTATACATATTGATATTTTGGGTAACTGTATGAAAATGATTTCTTTGTTTTTTTCTTTCTAAATTAGTAGTAAAGCACGTATAGAATCTCTTCTATAAATTCCCTTATCTTTAATCCTCACCCTCTCAAGACCATTATTTCAATTGGAATACTTTCAACCGAGTTTATTAGACAGTTTCTTTGCCTCCATCAACACTATAGGTTTATTCTCTCTCTGTTCTTAGAATGCATCTCATCTAGATCCAGGAACACCCCTACTTACAGTTTCTCTTATTTATAAAATTGCTTTGTTGATAAGGAAAAAAATGAACCAATAATGTTATGAATTCCTTCAAATTTTTTGCTAAGAAGGATATGAACTTTGTTATGTGCACCAAGCATAGATATGATCATCTATTAGCACATGGTATCCAACTTCTTCAACATCTTTGTGTTGGCAATGCACATCTGCCCTGCCCGTTCTGATTCTATGACATTCTATTATCAAGTTCTACTTTCCCATTTTTGTTACAAATATATATTTAGTAGGATATGGTTTTTCTGTTGATAAATTCTTTTATTATTATTACATCTATAATGCTGTATATCTGAAACTTTTAAGGTATGGGATGCAAGAACTGGACAAGGACTTGCCCAGTACATGGAGCACCAAAAGAGAGCTTGGTCCGTGGACTTTTCCCAAGTAGATCCAATGAAGTTTGCAAGTGGGAGTGATGATTGTTCAATCAGACTATGGAGCATCAATGAGGTACAATCTCTTGTACCATTTATCATAATTATGGTCAGAGAAAGTTGACACTAAATTGAGGTTGTATCTTTAGACATTGAGAACCTTAGAGGTCCAAATGTCTCAAGATGCGTGTCCCATAAAAAAGGGAATAAAAGACGAGAAAAGATTAAAAAAAAAAAAAGAAAGGAAAAAAGAAACAATAGAAGATCCTAAGAAGAAGTGTCTGATAGATCTCCGGATCCTGAGTTCAACTTTGTGTGTATTCCTACTTAAACCAAGCTACTGCTAACAATTGCAACATGTTTCTCCATTGAGACTTCATTAAATAGTGAGAATGAAATGTTTGATTTGATTGCACAGAGAAATTCAATGGGCACAATTTGGAGTCCTGCCAATGTTTGCTGCGTTCAGTTTTCTTCTTTCTCCTCTCATCTGCTGGCTTTTGGGTCTGCTGATTATAGGATCTCTTGTTATGATTTGCGACACACTAGAATTCCGTGGTGCACATTAATGGGCCATGGAAAGACTGTCAGTTATGTGAAGTTTTTGGATTCAGACACTCTTATTTCCGCATCCACAGATAACACATTAAAGCTCTGGGACCTCAGGAAAACCAGCATAGAGGGGTTGTCCCCAAATGCTTGCTCATTGACCTTTAGTGGACATACTAATGAGAAGGTCAGTTTCCGCATAGTGTAATTATTTATTTTCTCTATAGTAGTATAGGTTGTCCTTTTTTTTTCTCTGACTGTTTATCTTCCTCTTTTATACAGAACTTTGTGGGCTTGTCGGTGTTGGATGGATATATAACATGTGGTTCGGAAACTAATGAGGTAATTTTAGTTTATCTTTCAACATTTTTTTTTTGTTATAAAACATAGGTATGAAATTATGTTGGTATAATCTGTAAATGATGGTTTTTGATGCAAGAACGTGACTTGTTACTGTCCTACTTGTTTGAATACACAAACACAAAACAATGCGAAAAATTAGAAAGGAAGCAAGATAACACTGGTAACCATTATAAGGTCATGGTTTGAGTCTTTCGTGTGTTTCCAATATCATAGTTTCAGAATAGCATAAAAGGCTTAGTGTTGATGCAGAATGGATTGGTGAGATTTTCTTAGCTTCATTTACCAATAAAGAAGGGTAAATGATACCATTGGTCATTCAATTTATAGTGAATTTCATGTTAGTTACCAAACTTTATTTTGTTCCAAAGTTGTAACGGCAATTTTCTTTTTATTTAAGTTTGATCAATTAGTTAAAATCTGTTAGTTTTTCTAATGGAAAGTCCGACATGGAAAACCTCCATGTTGATGCTGCCACGTCAGATTGGCGTCTTCCATGTCAGACATCCGTTAGGAAAAATTGATGATTTTAATCAAGCGACCAAACTGAAACAAAAAATGAACTTCAGTGACTACTTCAACAAAATAACTTCCAATTAGTGTGAAACTTTGCCATGAATTGACTGCCTTGCAATGTTTTCAAGCCCAAATAACAAATAATTGTCTAATATTTTGCTTCTGGTAAGTGGATGAGTGACTCTGCTTGTCCGATATTGTCATATCCATTTGACCTGAATTATTTTAGCATCAAAGCTTTATGAAAATTGTTGAGAACCCGAAATGAATGAATACCTCGTTTATTGCTAATTCATTTAAGCGGTTGATCTATTCCTTTTCTTTCAGGTTTATGCTTACTACAGATCTCTGCCAATGCCAATTACTTCTCACACGTTTGGAAGCATCGATCCAATTTTTGGACACGAGAGTAGCGATAGTAATGGGCAATTTGTTTCAAGTGTTTGTTGGAGAAGAAAATCTAACATGGTTGTTGCTGCCAACTCTAGTGGTAGTATAAAGATATTGCGTTTGGTATGAAGGTGTCTTCTCATAGTTCATGTGAAGAATATTATAAATTGT